GTACAGGAAATCTCGACCGAATCTAGGTTCTTTGAATTCGATTTCTTTTATTATAGAAACAAAGGACTTAGTTCGGACGAAATACTCATTACTAAGTTGAACGTAAAGCAATTGAATGATTTAATTTTATCTTTCCCAAGTGGTAAATCCGGACAGAAAACATTTTCATCAAAGCGTTTCCTGGCTCGTGGTGGACAAGTGGAGGAAGGAGTGACAGTTGCAACTTATCGATCAACCTATTTCTGGGAACCAGTTCAGCACACTAACTTTACTGTTACGATTGTGGTTAAAGATGGCGACAGGGATGAAACACTGGACACTCAGACTATTCCTTCCGGTAAACCAAAGCATCAATAGAAAAGATGCAAATTATCAGAAAGATGAAATTAGAAGATCCTCGCAGCTAAGAACACTACTGAAACTAGTAGTTGTAAGTAGGACCTGAAAAAAATTTCAGGCCCGTACGGGGTTTGAACCCATGACCTCTGCGATACCGGTGCAGCGCTCTACCAATTGAGCTAACAAGCCAACTGGGAGCTGGTCAATGAATTGGGTACAAATAAACATCCGAGTGAATGAAGATTTAGATATATGAAAATTCACATATTTGCACTGCGGTGGAAAGATGAAAGAAAGATATTGACTGACTTTACGTTTCCACGTTAACGACTGACCTTTTAGATCCTTAACATGCAACCTTATTTTTTGATTGAATTCCTTCACGTACATGTTTGTTGTACCTTTAAACATTGTGCGCTTTTCTAAGCAGATTTTGAATTTTTATACCATCGCTTGGACTTGGTGAAGCCGGATTCGCCATGCGTTCACTTTTCAAGATATGCAGCAAAAGGTTTGTAAGCCCCCCGCCCTTCCCCATCCATGAAATGTTATCGTCGTCATTGCTATTTATGCTCAGTGATTTTTAAAAGTATCGCGACTCTTAACTGTTGCATCATATTATAGAGCAATATCACAACCCTTATTATTGTCACAGATTCAACAGTGGTAAAGTTTAGTGCAGAAGCCTTCACAGATCCATACAACTACCTTGGACTGGATGAGTCAGTATCTAAAGTGAACGCTTACGAAAGATTTATGAAAAATACAAGAGCAATCAACCCCGGATTTAAAAGTGGCATACGTAATACAGTCTTAGCTACCAAGAAGGTAGAAGATATTTGGTTTCGAAAAAAATCGGAGTACACTACATATCTTGTTTGGAGATATGTTGGAACAGCCAATGGTGTTTTCAGAATGACACCTGGAACTTTGCTGGCCAAATCTTACGATCCGAGGAAAAGACCATGGTTAGTAGTTTAAGGTTATAAAATTTACATTGGGAGTATGTTTCACATTCTTCCATCATTTTTAACTTTAAAAAGTGTCTTTGGAGTCAACCAAGCTTTGTCTTCCACCCTCTGTGTAGACATCATTCGTTCACAAACAGAAAAGTATGATAATCCACCCGAACGTCCCACATACCTATGTTATTGGGCGATAAAGCTTTAATTACCATATGATATATCACATTATCAAATCACCTTTGTCATTTTTTAGGTACCACACCGCTCTCAGCAATACGGGGTCAGTTGCCCTCTCCACGCCCTATATAGACGCCTTCGGTGCGGGAGTGGTGATAACTGCAGCCCACACCCTCTACCGCGGTGAGACAAACAGCCAGCATAGTACAAATGATCAGGTCATTGGAGTCATGGGCGCAGATTTCCCCCTATCATACTTTCAAAAGTAAGCATATCATATTTTGTAGACCGCACTTCTAATACATAGCTACCATATCTTTGTGTCTATTTCACTCTGTGCAAAACAGATCATTCTGTTCTTATTCTAACCATAGATACTTAAAGTACCGAGGTGACTTCCTTTCCAGGCTAAGACCGTTTAAACCGAGGTTGTCTTGTTCTAATTTTTGCCTTAATAATAACTTAATACTTTTGTTTCAGACTTCTGACAGACACATACCCAAAGTGTGAGGAGAGCAGCTATGATTGTTTTGTTTTGGACAGTGCTGGATTCCTAATCATGCACAATGATTTCCTACAGCCAGATATAACGGCAAAAACTCTGGAGTATGTCCACATCACAGAAAAAGAGAAAGAAATCTCCGAAGATCTCATACAAAAAGGTTATCTGGTAAAGAAGGAATGTCGAAATTTGGAGAAAATCGGCTTGCAGAGCTTTTACGAGCTAAAGCTTCCATTTCAAGGAGTGAGTACTCTTGAGAATGGACAACGTTGCAAGAAGTATCAGCTCTTGAAAGTTGGTGGAAGTAATGCCTTTTTGGGTAAGAGAGATGGGAAAAATCTGACAGGTGTGTTACAATAAAAAATATGTTTAATTTACGCTGAGAACGTTTCTTTTCTCTTTTGCATCAACAGGAATCATATCAAGGGAGGGCTCGTGTTCATCCAAGACTTGCAGCTGCTCCACTAACAAAGAATGTTCCAACGTGAAGGGATTGACTTGCGAATGCCCTTGTTCCTCACGCCTTGAATTCCATTACTGTAGGAGTGAATTTCCAGCCAGCAAGTAAGCTTATCATAATGTGAAAAGTTGATAGCACTGGGTTTCGTATGTAAGCTTACCAGCTTTATTTTCTTGCAGTATTTCCATTTGTCCCGTGCCAGCGACTGTTTTTCTCTCTGAACGAGTACATGATCCTTCAGTAAATGGCTTAGGGAAATGTTTCGACCCACAATGTGACAAGAAGCCTGATTCAGAGTCATGTGACGGAGTCGTGGGCTGCTATTGGTGCGTTAGAGATAAGTTCAATACTCCTCTTTCCAAGAAATACTGCGCAGATATCAATACCTGCTATGGTGGCACACAAGGTATGTCTTAAACTGTTTATTCGAAGACACTTTTTCCTGAAGTGTGCATCAAATAATGTATGTTCTTTATTGTTCATTCTGCAGGCACAAGAGCCCCAGGAAGCGGTAATATTCCAACCGACCCCACCAATCTAGAAGATGACGACGATAAGGGTGGTCTCTCGGCAGGTGCCATTGTCGGTATTGTTCTGGGGTCGATCGCTGTCATTATTGTGCTTGCTTTCATCTTTGTTAAATGTAGCAGAGAAAGTACTCCAAAAACGGTTGCAACCTTGGCTCCGGCTCCAGCAGTGGAATACAATGCACTGCCGCCTACCACCCATCCACCAGAATGCGCATACCGACCTGAGCCTGGTTTTCCTGTGCATAGCGCTAGTGTAAATATACCGCCACCTCCCAGTTATGATCAGGCAATGTCATCTTTTCCTACCGCTTCTGCACCGCCCTAAAAACGTTCTTAGAGGAGTGTGCGTTAGCGTTTACTAGGTTATATGAAATTAAGGAGAGCTTGGTAATGCATTCACTTTACCAGGAGTGGTCCGTAAACGAAAGGATGATGCAATGACACTATAATACGTTCTGCCAGATAAGAGACGATCCGACCTCTACTATTCTGACACAGATCCTACTCTTAATCTGATGCCGGTGGTGTTTCTATATTATATCATACGCTTAACAAATTTTAGTCGAGTCTTGTCAAATCGAACCTATTAAAGGCACACGCTACTAAGATTTAGGAAATGAACGCTTCGCATTCTTCTCACTAAAAGGTTCTCCATGTTTTGTAATTCTGGTTAGAAAAATTTCTCTTGATTAACAGTATCCGTCGACAGTCACCCCCACGAGAGGAGTCATTTATTGAGCGATATAATATCTATACTATATCAT